TTTGATGCTGGCTAGGATGCAGAGAAATGGGAACCCTCCTACACTGTTGGTGGGAATGTAAATTGGTGCAACTGCTGTGGAAAGCAATATGGAAGTTCCTCAAAAAACTAAAAATAGAAATACCATTTGACCCAGTAATTTCACTGCTAGGAAGGAAACCTGAAGAAAACAAGATCCCTGATTCAAAAAGACATATACACCCCTATGTTTATCACTGCACTATTTACAATAGCCAAGAAATGAAAGCAACCTGTGTCCATCAATAAATGAGCTACATACACATAATGGAATATTATTCAGCCACAAAAAGAAAAGAAATCCTCCCATTTGCAACAACATGGATGGATCTAATGGGTATTATGATCAGTGAAATAAGCCAGGTGGAGAGATACAAATATCAAATGATTTCACTTATTTGTGGAGTGTAAAAATAAAGCAAAACAGAAGAAATAAAATAGCAGTAGACTCACAGACACCAAAGGGGAGGGATTGGGAAGGTGGTAGGGGGGATGGGGAAGGGAATTAAGGGGCACAATAATTTGAAATCACAATATAGGTATGTCACAGGGATGGTAGTACAGCACGGAGAATACAGTTAATGATTCTGTAACATCTTACTGCATTGATGGATAGTGACCTCACTGGAGGGGGTGAGGACTTGATAATATGGGTACCTGTTGAACCACTGTGTTGTATATTTGAAACCAACATAAGATTGTATATCAATGATACTTTAATAAAAAGAAAAAAAGAAACTATTTGGTGTGGAGGAGGTTTGCCACACTTTTACTTTTATCACCAATACTCTTGGAAAAAATGTAAGCTTCAGATAACTACTTTTATTTTTTTCTATTTTATAGTTCATCTACTTTTCTTCTGTCCTTTCTTTTTTCTTCTTACTGAGAGTGGCTCTTTTCCAAATAAATAAAATTTTAGAATATCCTTCCACATTTTTTAGGCAAAGTTGAGTTCTTGCTTAGGTTAATGATATTTTTTAAACTGGAATTTGAATTTTGTTTTAATTTTTTTTTATTAATGGACTGCATGACTCTTGAGTTTTTTTCCCCCTCAGTTCAGAATTTTTTAATTTCAGAGCAACATGAATAACATCTGTCTTTTCAAAGAGCACCTAGCCAAACCTTCTGCCAACCCTGGAAATTGATCTGTCACAATCCTTACTACCACAATATCCCCACAGTCCTAAAGGTGTTCCTCAACCAAATTCTTCAGCTTTGTATGGGAGATTCCCCATAAATACTGATCTCGCATCCCCAGATGTGTCTCAAATGCAAAATCCATGTCGTGCATCTAGATTCATACACCAAGGTTATGGTAACATAGCCCAGTGTAGCATCCATGTTTCCTCAGACCAATCTAATATTCCATTTATCTTGCACTGTCTCACTGCTTGTTTCATTATTAATAAGGAATTTTAATAACTACTATCTTCACATATTCGCTTTGTGACTTGGTCAGGTCACTTTATTTCCCCAGGTTGGCTTGCTCACATCTGCAAATGGAGAGAACATGCCTTCCAGCTGTCTTGTCACATTTTCTGTTTTCAAGACTCCCTGCTTATTAATTACCAAAAATTAGGAAACAGGTTTAAATTAAAGCATTCAGAAGCACAGAAAGGATAGAAATGAAACATTGCAACCGTTTCCAGTGTTCTGAAAATCCTGAATTGTAGATGACTTAAAAATTGCAAATCCTGAATTGTGGATGAGTTAAAAATTTTCTTTCTGAAAGTCAAGCTTCTGGATGGCATTGTGGTAGACCAGGTAACTGCTCGCCAAATTTATTTTCTCTTCCTCCAGGGCACATAAGTACAATTCATAGCTCAGTCTCCTTTGAATATAGGAAATGACTATATACCAATAGAATGGTACCAGAAAGGAAATGGGTCACTTTATGCCTGGCTATCAAACCTTCCCAACATGATTCTGTGTGCTTTTCCCCTCGTGTTCAAGACTGAAATTCTGCAGAGAAGCAGGCTCCAAAACAAAACAACAAAAGAAAAACAAAGTAATAAAACAACAACATATGTAGGAACATCCATTTTCTGTTTTGGCCTTCACATGAATAATAAATATCTAAATGTCTACTTTATTAGAGCACTGAGATTTCTAAGTTCTTCTGTTAAAAAAGTGAATGTTGATGACATTATCATATCTAGTACTTGAGGGTTCTTAGAATGTTATAGTTTTGATGTTCTAATTTTTCAAAACATATCTCTGTAATAAACACATAATCTATGTTAAAACTGTACCACAAACTTTGTTTCTTTACATCAGTAATTGCAGTTAATTCTGAATATTGCTCAAAAATCTTGTTAATTTATCATTTTGATTGAAATTCCCTTTGAACTTGTCAAAGAATTTAGTCATTTTAATTAATTGCAATTTTTCTTTTCCCTTTAGGGAAGTTGTGAATTTCTTTTGCCTCAAAATTGTCATTCACATCCTAAGAGATTAGAAATCCCTGCAGGTAGCTTTAGAGAGGTTTATTTCTTAATTTCAAAGAGATTAAAATATGAATACTTTTAAAGAGGTTTAAAAAAAGTCCTCCATATCACATTCACATCTAGAATGGATTAGAATATATTGGTGTGATAAACATCCTACTTTTACTATTGAATTTTCTATTAAATGGATATATACTGAAAGTGAGAGTATAAACATTTTAACAAACAGATTTAATATATATATATACTCTTTTTTTACTTCTTTTTATAGTAAGAGCAAGCCCACAAAGAAACATAAAAAAGAAAACTCTTATTTAGAAAACCAAGTCAAAAACCAAAAGGTATTGAATCTAATAAAATTTTATGAAACACTTATGAGTATTATGTGGATTAAACAATCAACTATACTAATAAATAATATTTCCTATATTAGAACATTAATTTGCCAGAGACAACCTATCAAACTAAAATAGCTAGCACACTGTAGCAACTAATACTATTTAAGGAAATTGTTTAAATAACAGTTGGCAAAGTTATTTTGGAATAGTGAGAAAAGTACAAAGATGGCATAGATGCCCTTGAGGGTTTTTTTTTTATTAAGGTATCATTGATATACAATCACATGAGCAGTATTGCTCATGTGAATTCCCCCCATTATTAAGTCGCCACCACATACCCCATTACAGTCATAGTAAGTCCATCAGCATAGTAAGATGCTATAGAGTCGCTACTTGTCTTTTCTATGCTATACTTTCAGTTTTATATTTGTTTTCTTTTATGTGAAAGGAGTGAGGTAATGGGATTTCCAGAATGGCAGTGGTAGGCACTTGCAGACACTTTTCCCAGCTCAAGAATCATTTACTGCTGAACATCATAATAAAACAGCCTTTGAAATCTCTGTAAGGTGTCCTGATGACATACAGGAAATGGATAAAATTTCTTTCAAGATAATCTAACAAATCTCAGTAAGAACTCTGTGAGTCTACCGCATTTGAGCCATGAACCATTCCCATCCCCATCCCCAGATCAGTATAAGAAAAGCTCTGTTCTCAGTAGCCACATGAAGGCCTGGCTCCCTCTTTTCCCAGCTCCTAGTCTAGGACTAGGGTTCATCAGCTGCATGCTTCATCCTACTCAGTTCCATGCTGCAAAAGCTAGATTGCAAGAAAGTGCAAGTGAAAGTGAGGCAGGTGTAGGTGGGACTCTGGCAGATAGAGTTCAAGGCCCCAGTAAGCTACAGTCAGCATCAAGGCTTCACAACAAATAAGAAGCCACAACCTGGACATATAGAAAATTCAGCCTGAGAAGCAAGAGAGTTTTTCTTTTGATCCCAGCTCAGCCTTGGCAACAAGTCCCTGCCAATCATGTAAATTCCTCTGTTTTTATGCTTGGAAACCCTAGACATGGCAGCCCTAATGGCATCCTCCCTCAGAGCCCCTCCTGATGAGTGGGAATCTTTTTCCTTTTCACTTATTAAAAGCTTCACTGGTTGTTCCATACTCTTCTATGCTGGCTTCATTCCTCATCACCTCCGAGACATCATTCCAGGAAGAACAGTAACTCCTCCACTGTTAACAGACAGACAGAGGCTTCCTTCTACTTATCCCCATTTTAGGGCAAACTAACAGCCAGACCAAGCCCAGTCCAGCCAAACAATTAAGCAAATAAACAAGCAAGATGTTAACAAATAACACCACCACCAAGATCTAAGACAGGATTAAATGTCCAAAGTTGTGACAAAATATTATCTAACAACAGCAACAAAAAGGCCTAGGGGTAGAGCAAAGGGTATCGATACCTGAGTTGCTGAAATGCATTAGTGTCCATTTTTCAACAAAAATGTATGATGTGCAAAGAAAAAGGAAAATATGACTCCTACACCATAAGAAAAGAGTAGAAAATATTGTTTGTATTTAAGGGAAGCTCAAATGTTGGGTTTAAGGAACAAAACTGCAAGGCAGATACTAGATATATGTTCAAAATACAGACAAAGCTGTGCTTAAGGAATTAAAGGAAGGCATGATGACAATGTTTCATCAAATGGAAAATAACAATAAAGAAATGGAAATTTTTTACAGGAACAAATTGGAAATTCTGGAGTTGAAAAGCATAAAACCCAAAATTAAAAATTCACTACAGATGCACCAAGGAAGATCTGAACTGGCAGAAAAAGAATTTGTGAACTTGAAGATTGATAAAGTCCATCATTGAAGTACAAGGGAAAAGGGAATGAAAAAAATGAACACAGCTTTGGAGAAATATGGAAAACCACTAGCACATCAATGTATTTGTAGGAGGGCTGCCAGAGCACAGGAGAGAGAAAAAGGAGCAGAAAAAAATATTTGAAGAAATAATAGCTGATTTCTTTTGAAATTTGATGAAAACGTTTAAATTACACATCTGAAAGGCTCAATGAATTCCAGGTAGAATAAATACAAAATGATGCACAACCAGACATATCATAATAAACATGACAGTAAACGAAAGCAAAGAGAAAAATCTTGAAAGCACCAAGATAAAACAATTTATCACTTACAATGGATGCTCTCCAATATGGTTAACGGGTGACCTCTCATCAGGAACAATAAACAATAGAGTCCAGAATGCAGTGGGTAAAATAGCCAATGTCCATCCCCCAACCACAGCAACAACAACAACAACAAAAAAAAGCTGTCAAGCAACAATGCTATATCCAGGGAAATTTTTGAAAGTGAAAGTGAAATAAAGACAATTACAAAAGCAAAAGCTGAGAGAATTCTTTTCTAGCTGAACCACCTCCCAAAAAAACACTAAAGGAAGTTCTGTTGGCAGAAAGCATTAAACCCAAGAAATTCAAATCCGTATGATAAAACAAACACCACCAGTAAAGGTAATTATATATTATACAATTACAATTTATATGTGTATATTATATATACTTATATATATAATGATCTATAGAAAACAGCATAAATGCATATTACTTCACCTCTTTTCTCTTATTTAAAAAGCAATCACATAAAACAACATCTATATATTACTGTATTGTTGGTCCTGTAACATACAGAAATGTTTTATATTTAGCACTAACAGCTTAAAGGAAGTGGGTGAAAATAATACTGTTTTTGGAGTAAGGAAATGACACCATATGGTGACTAAATCCTCAGGAAGAAATTAAGAGATACAGAAATGGAAGATAATAAGTTTAATATATAAACAGTATGAATATATACTTGTTCTCCTTTCTTCTCTCAGATTCTTTAAAAGACATAAAATTATAAAAACTAATGCCTAAAACAATATATTGATGGTTTTGTAAACTATGTAGAGTATGTATAACCATAATAGCATAAAAAAGGGGAAAATGGAGCTATGTGGGAGTAACATTTTTATATCTCACTAGTATTAGGTTAGTATAAATCTGAAATAGATTCTGATAAATTAAAAAATATATGGCAAGCCCTAGAGCAACCATTAAAAATTTAACTAAAAAAACTACAGTGAAAAATAATTAAAGAAATTAGAAAACTTTCACTTAATGCAAAGAAAATATTAAAAGAGGGTTAGAGGAGCAAGTAAGATATAAGCAATTTTTTTAAGTAAATGACATAAATAATAAAATTAAAGGTGATTGGATTAAGCAGTCTGATAAAAAAAGATGGTCAAATTAGATTAAAAAAACACAACTATGTATTGTCTACAGGAGATACATTTAAGATAGAAAGATACAAAAAGATTGAAAGTAAAAGGATGAAAAAGTAGATCATGCAAACAGCCGTCATAAGAAGTTGAAGTCTCTAGACCAATGTCAGACAAACACACCTAAAAATAAAAATGATCCTAGAGATGATGAACTGCCATTTTATAATAATAAAATGTTAATCCATCAGGAAAATAACAGTCATAAAAATATATATGACCCTGAAAACATATGAAAATAGGAAAGACATAAAGGGGAAATTGACAATTCAGTTATAATCATTGGAGACTTCAATGTTTCACTTTTAGTAATAGATAGAACAAGTAGGCAGAAGATCATGGAAATAGATTTGAACAACAGGATAAACCAGCACGACCTAACAGACATCTACAGAACACAATGCCAACACAACGTACATTCATCTCAAATGTATATGGAGTAAGACAGGCAATTATCAAGGCCATAAATTAACCTTAATAAATTTAAAAGGATTGAAAGAACAAAAAGTACGCTCTCTAAACACAATGGAATGAAATTAATAATCAATAGCAGAAGGAAATTTAGAAAGATCACAAATATGGAAATTAAACAATTATAAGAGAAATCATATGGAAATTTTTATGGAAAAATCACAAGAGAAATTATAAGATACTTTGAGATGAATGAAAATGAAGACATAGCATACCAAAACTTATGGATGCAGCTAACTTCAGGGCTTATAGGGAAATTTATAGCTGCAAAGGCCTATATCAAAAAAGTGGAAACATGTCCAATCAATAATGTAGCCTTGCACCTTAAGACACTGGGAAACAAAGAACAGTAAAGCAGAAAGATGGAAATAAAAAAGACTATAACAGAAAGGAAATAGAGATTTTAAAAAAATCAAAAAATTAATGAAACTAAAAGCTGCTTCTTTGAAAAGATTAACAAAATTGGCAAACTTTTCACTAAATTGAACAAGAAAAAAGGTAAAAGACTAAATTACTAAATCAGAAGATGTTGGGACCTTTTGCCTCTTTTAGGCCTGTGACGGCCGTAGACTGGAGGTTTCCATCCTCCCTCGTTACTTCTGTGTTCGTGGCCTAACTAGCTTCCCCAGCTCACGCTCTTGGCCCTAACTCCGCCTCCCCACCTAACACGAAACCTGCCTAAAGACCCTAGTGACAGATGAGATAATCAATTCCCATTGGTTTATGTTACTTCCTTATCTTCCCCTATATAACTAAGCCTCTGATGGAATAAAGCTGAGTTTTGCTGCACCCTTGAGGCTGACACATCTCCCTGCTTGATGTGGTTTTGTTTTTCCCTGGATCTCAGGGGAGGGTGTCTAAGCCCCCAACACTTGCCCTCTCGCTCAGCCCTGGGGATAACAGGCTGGTCCTGCTTGTCCCCCCGCCTTCTTGTTGCTGAAGGGCAACAACTGGTGCCCCGTGTGAGGAACGAGGAACTTCGCTGACGAGCTAATCGGACTATGGGTAATTGTAATACCATAAAATATGGGACATTCTTCTTCCAAGTCTGATCCCTCTCTTGAATCCCCTAGGGTCCTCCTCCGAAGTAAAGGCCTAGAGCTCTCTGACAGCCAAGCTATCAAAACCTGGGAGACCTTAGTTAAGGTCGCCTGTGGCTGCCTGCAAGTAATTTGTTTGACTGGGAAACTTGGGACAGGGTGGAGCAACTCGTATGCAAAGCCCAAGTTAATTGGGGTGATATCCCCCCTCTGGGGACCTTCCCCTCTTTAGCAGCCCTTAAGAGTTGCTTCCCTCCTCGGCCATCGAAGCCAGCTGCAAAGAACTTAATAGACAGAGAAACCACACCGGGTCGGGAGCCCCTTCCCGGGGAGATTCTGATCCCCTTCCTCAGGCTGAGTCCACGCCGGCAGGACAAGAAAGCCTAAAGAGCCAGATGAGAATCATGGCAATGGCGCCCTCGACCTTTTGATGCCGCCCCCTGGCCTCCCAAATCCACGGCTCCTTTGTACCCACCACTTTCTGGTACTAGTTCCTCTTCTAACCCTTTCAAATCATCATCAGCGCCCCCCTCCTCCATATCAATGAGCAGGGGTTTCGGCTCCTCTCCCATATAAGGACTCATGCTCTCCTATTGGCTGCCAACCTCAAGAGAATCCAGGGCTCCACCCACAACCCTACCTAGGGCCATGTCAGCTATTTCCTGTCAATGTTAATCCCGGAGTTAACTGCCCTGCCCCCTGGTACCCTTGGGAGCCAGGTAACCTTAAGGAGTTAAAGAAGGCCGTTCTTGAGGATGGCCCCAATGCTCCTTGGACTGAGACCATCCTCCAGAGACTTGCTCACCATCCGTGCACCACCGCAGATCAGAGGGCTCTTGCCCAGGCGGTTCTCCCTGGCCCCCTTTATATTAAGTGGTGTGCTTTGTATAAAAAGGAATGCCAGCAACAAGCTGAGAAGAATCTGACATACTCTTTTACATATATATGGATGATATTATCTTGGGGGCCACTTGTTCCCACAAATTAGACGACCTCTTTAAAAGGTGCCTTTCCCTGCTCAAAAACTACAACTTTCAATCACCCCAGATAAAGTTCAACAGATAGCTCCTTTTAAAATTTTGGGGACTACTTTAACATTAGATGTTGTCTCCCCTGTTAAGCCCTAGTTATGTATTCAAGACACATATATGCTACCGCAGCTCCAGAAACTGCTGGGGGAAATCAATTGGATGAGGCCCTGGATTCCTATAACCATAGCTGCTCTTATCCCTCTTTTCAACCTATTAAAAGGCTTTAACCTAGCTTCAACAGTGACTTTAACCCCTATACATAGAGAGACATTGATGAAAGTTCAACATGCCATTGATAACGCTGCTTTAAAAAGATATGATCCAAACTTGCCACTGATCCTCTATATTATGGCAGAAGAGACCCTCCTCACTGCCCTTTTGGCTCAGGAGGGAGATCCCATACATTGGATACATCTATCTGTGGGAGGGGCACCCCGAGTGTACTCTATAGTGGATCAAATGGCTTACTGCATTGTCAAGGGACAAGATCTTTCTGTCTGTCTTTTTGGGTGTGAACCCCACTCTTTGATCATTCCTTTTCAGGTCAGTGATTTCTCATGGCTACAGAGAAATAATTCCAGATTGGCAATGGCCATGGAAAGCTTTCCGGGGATAGTGGACTGTCACTATGGTCCCTATAAGTGGGTGAGTTCTTTTAGCCAGTTGGCGTGGCAGCCGCCAAAAATGTTCCTCACTGAGGCAGGCCCCTCTTTCCCCTCTGTTTTTACTGATGGGGGTAAGTGGAGAGCCTCTGTGGTAATGTTTCCCCCCAGGCACAAGTGAATGCCCTCCGGCCGTAACCCTCTTTCATGAGGTGCAGTGCTCCACCCAGTTTAAAGAGCTTTATGCTGTTGTTTTAGCTCTGTCTGAGATCCAAGGCCCTCTTAATCTGCTTTCTGATAGCCTTTATGTTGTCAATCTACTGCCCAACCTTGCGGGTGCTCACATCAGACTTGACAATAATCCCATCACTCCTTTGATGATTCAAGCCTGGCATTTGTTAAAACAGAGACTCGTTCCCCATTTTGTACAACATTTAAGAGGACATCAGGACTTGCCAAGCTTTTTGTCGAGGGACAATGCTCTTGCAGACCAACTAGCTTCAGCCTACACAGTATAGGAAGCCACCTCTTTTCATCAACTTACACACACTAATTGGAGGGGACTACACCATCGGTTCCCTCAAGTCCCCATCAAAGACTTAAAAAAGATCATTAGAACATGTAAGTCATGCCAGCCCTTTTTACAGGTTCCTCCGCTTCAAAAGAATGGAACGAACCCTCAAGGCCTGATGCCCAATAACCTTTTGCAGACTGATGTCATACATATCGCCCCTTTTGGGAAACTTAGATACATATTTCTAACAGTTGATACCTTCTCTCATGCTTGTTGGGCTACAACCCA